CAACCTCACCCTGCATGTTGTGTCTATCCATGTTTCTGTCTTCTGCCCGCCCACCATGTGTCTCTCCGCCTGGAACCAGCCATTGCTCGGGGACCAGCAGCTCTGCCTGGGGCCCACTGCCTGCTGCCACATGGCCCGCCACCACTGCTCTGGGACCGGCAGCCATTTCTGTCTGGGACTGGCTGCTCCCAGAGCCCGCTGTCCGCCACCACATGGCTCGCCACCACCATTTGGGACCTACAGCATTTCTGCTGCCTACCTCTGTGGGATCTTGCAGCATTTTTTTAAAAAGAACATTTTTGTGTGACTTCAGGCAAGCTACCCAGAGGCCCTAGACTTCCTTTTTCACCACCCAGGGAAAAGATAGAAAATCGATCATGGTAGCCATGCTCAGTAGGGTTGTTATTTCCAAATCCAGACCTCCAAGGTAGTCTGAGTGCTAGGTGAGCAAGTAATGCTGTACACATTTGAAATAAGATTCTTATTAAGACGCAATACCCACTCAAAGTCTATCTGCACTCTCATGCTTCCTTCCCCGCTGGTGCTGCCATTGTGAGACTCCAAGATGCCTCTTCTCTAGGAACTCAGCTGCTGACCAACAAATGCTCGCTTGAACATGGACACTGAACAGGTCTAAATGCCGTAGCCCATTCTCATACAGCAAAAACCAAAGGCTATCCTATACAAGTGATAAGTCCTAGCCAGCCCAGAACAAATCACAATAAAATTGATTGGCTATTAACTAAACACCCGCAATAGCCATTTTCTAAGTTGTTCACATTCTAGTTAGCAGTCATGGACTATTAACCTGTTGTGGTGGGACATGCCTTTCATTTAAGCACTCAGGAAAGTGAGGCAGAAGAATCATGAACTCAAGGATATCCTGGGCTACATGGTGAGACCCTGTCTCAATAAAAAGCTAGCTTTATTTTAAACTCATGGAACATAATAGAATTATAGGCAGGTGTGTCTCCCCTTATAGCTGGCTAAAGTGATACCATAGTAAATTCACCAAGGCTCTTTGCTCTTCCATCTTGAAAGCTCAGAAAGTTGCTCTTCCCACCAAATCCATTCATTCACTCAACAATTACTTGCTGTGTACCTACTTTGAGCCAGACAGCTGTGAAAGACCACATAGAGAAAAGAAACAAGACATTTGATCCCGCTGGTGTTCCCCAGGCCAAAAATCTTCAAAGATCATAGTTCTCAGATATTAAAAACCATCGTGCAAAAGCCAAAGTCAAAGATCCACATTATCAGTCAGTGAGCTGATAATGAGATGATCGCCAGGCCATGACAGCGTTCATTTCACAAAACAAATCCATGGTTTCCAAATACCCATATCCACCACTTCCAGCAGGAGAGCGGACGGCACAAGAGACACTGGGCATCACTGTGACAAACACATGACAGCTTTTGGCTGTGACTTTCCTCTTGGGGCTTTCTACCACTTTCCCGTGTGGAGCCCACCCACCCTCTCACGCCTACTGCTCTTCTCAAAAAGGTTGTTATTCATTTATTGACCTCTATTTCCTAAGTTACAAACATATTTCCATCTTGCTTCAAGTTATTTTTCACGCATCATCCTGACTGGAGTTTTCCATGTTCTAAAACTTCTTCCATTTCATGGCGACAGAATTATTATTATGTAAGCCTCAAAGGACACGACTTTTGCTATACACATGTGAAATTCATGTGATAGGTGGCGGTAGTGTTGCTTAAGGTGGAGGCCAAACTACCCAGTGAGGCACAAATGTTAATTTTACATGAATCATTAAGTGCAGTGCGTGATGCAGATGTGGAATCTTATGCAAAGGTCAAGATTAAAGTAAGAACTTGATGGGTTCATAGTCCAAATGCCACAGTCATTTAGTGCTCCATGATCTAAACAGTGAGTGTCTGAGATTATAAAGGAAAAGCCACGCACGCATCAACATTTGATGGCCAGCAAACAAATGTCTGCGTCAATACGGAAGCAAAATGTCTCAGGCTATGCATCTCATCTCATACACAGATTATATCCATGGCAAACTGAAACATGTTTTCTTCAGATCAGGTGAAGCTGTCTGGAGGCACAGAGATGCGCCAAGGCTTTACCGTAATTAAATGAGGAAGAAGCCATCATGAAAGACGCTTCTTCCTACAGTAGATGGCAACAAATAAAGAGACCCGCAACTGGACAGCGGACAGAGAGTGAGAGACCTTGGAACCATCAGTCCTAAAATGGGATGTCTCCTTCCAATCCGTCCCCTCAGGGCTTAGGGAATTTTGTAGGAGAGAAGATGGAAAGATGGAAAGAGCCAATGGAGATAGAAGACACCAAGAAAACAAGACCTTCTACACAAAACACACACCTATGAACTCACCGAGACTGGAGCAGCCTGTACAGGACCTGTACAGATCTAAGTCAGGTGGGGTCCCAGGACTGAGAGCGAAAGTAGACACCAGCACCATCTCTTACCCAGAAACCATCTCCAACTGACAACCGCTCACAAAGGAAAAGTTAAGTTTTCTCCAACGAAGTCTCACTGGGTATCCAAACCACACATGGGTAGGCCCCACGCTCAGAAGCAGATGGCCAACACAAAATTAAATCAATAGCAATTTTGGAGTGTTGTTGTCTCCTAATTCTTTATCTGGGCTTTTATTTTTATCTTTTAACCTTACAGGTCTTTTGCCTACACACTATGGTTTCTCTCTTTGTGTCTTTATGAGATTTCTGGATGTGCAGGTGTGTGAGCATCTACATCTGTATGTGTTTCTTGAACTTTGACTTTGGCTCTTTTTTTTTCTATTTGTTTTGTCCTATTCTTTTGTGTCTTTTAGTTCCCAACCACTGAAAAAGTGATGGCTTGTTTTTCTTACAAGGATTTCGTTTGGGGGCATTGTTTTGTTTATATGGGTGTGCTTTAGGATTAATAGACGTGATCAAACATTAACCTCAATATAGTCTAAGAAGAAGCTATGATTCAATTAGGTAATTAATTAAACAAGTTATCATTAAGCAAACATTTTAGTTACTCTATACTCTAAAAGAAATGTTCTCCAAATGTTCTCTAGGTGGGTATATCTCTAGGTGCCACCCCAGTGCCCAGAGTTTACTAGGCTTTCTGAAACTATTTTGTGAGTATGTAACTGTGTACATATCTTCATCCACAATGACCACTACCATGAAGTTGTTTTTTTTAAAACCTAGGAAAACTTTAAGTTTGAAGTTACTTGAGTTTAAAACTGGATATGGTAATTCATGCCTATAATACGAACATTCAGGAAATTGAACAAGAGGCCACAAGATAAGGCCAGTTTAGTCTATATAGAGTGAGTTCAAGGTTAGCCTGCCTCAAGAAACGCTGAGAGTGAGAGAAATCCTTTTCTTCAAGGATGAGCTCCCTAAATGGTTATACACTACTAAGGTGGTCATAAAATACATACAAGACACATTAAAGGAACTGAGCAAATTATATTAATATACTTAGAGATAGATAGATAGATAGATAGATAGATAGATAGATAGGTAGATGATAGATAGATAGATAGATAGATAGATAGATAGATAGATGATAGATAGATGATAGATAGATAGATAGATAGATAGATAGATAGATAGATAGATAGGGAGGGGATCATGGGACAGATTGCAGAGTGGAAAGAGGAAAGGGAGGAAGAAATGATATAATTATACTTTAATTTTTTAAATCAACAACAAAAAGATTATTTGAGTTTATAGAAGAAACATCATAATTTTTATCTTGAACTGTGAGGTAATGTCTATTAATATGAAGAGAAATTTAATTTTGCAAAACTAATTTTCCTAAAGATTTCTGCCATAGATTTCTATAAAACCTTGGACTATTTGCCTACAATTTGTTAAGAATTATAGAGAGTCTTCCCAGCTTCTGCTACTGACAGCCCTGGGCTGCTCTCCACCTTGGCCCAAGACGTTTCTTTTCATAGTGGACAGCAGTCAATGGAGAGGTGCAGAACTGGTCACAGTGCTGAGAAAGAGATCCTGAGCTCCAAACAGAACACCCATCTCCACCACCAAGGCTGAGGGACCATCACAGAAGAGGAGGCAGACAGAGACAGAATGTAAGAGCCAGAGGAGAGAGGTGAGTGCTGAGGAATGCTGCTCCCATACATGGCAGAGCTATCTAAATCATGACCTCACAGTGCAGTGGTTACCTACCTAAGACTGTCACTTGAACAAGACAGCCAAAAGGTTCCCAAGATCATCCCAGCACAGATGGGTAGATGATCTTCAGGACCAACTCCATACTGAGGAACTATTGCTCATGGGTAGTTGCTGGGGGATGAAGAATCATTGTTTATGGAGGAAGGTAATCAATACTGGTAGGTTTCCCATACCCTACATCTGTGCACATGGGACTTATAGGTTGTCAAAAAATTAAAAAAAAAAACAAACAAAATCAAAGACATGAAGTTGGGAGGGGCTTGTTGGGGAGATAGAGAGAGAACCAGAGGAGGAAGTGGAGGTACATATGATGATATTTCATTGTCTACATGGATCAAATGCTCAAAAATAAAATAAAAAATAACTACAGCATGTAGACTTGAACTAATAGATAACTATGTAGGAAAGCATCTAGGGTACCCATATCATATAAAGCACTATCCATTTGAACATCTGTGAAGCAAAGACCTCAGGGCAAAAGTCTTATGATGTGGCCTCTAATAAAAACCGTTTAAAGCTAAATGAAACCAGTTATGCTGAGGCTTTCGTTTGTTTTTATTTTGGTGGTGTGGGACCTTGAATGCTATGGTATTCTAGGGAGGAAAAATCTTCTATGATATCTTTCATCATTTACACCACAACACTGAGACCAGTATTTAGCTGATTCTATAACTGCAGAAAGAATGGTAAGCTGACATTGCCATAGACTTGCATAATACCAGGTAAATAGTCACACTCTTGTTTACCATTATCATAAATTAATGTGGATACATGACAACACTGAGACTCTATAAAGGAGACAACTCACCAAGCACAATGACCACAGTCTTCAGAAGGCTCATCATGGTGTCCCGATTCCTCCTGGGTCCAGAACTATGCCGAGACATTCTCATAGTCCTCTGGCGAACATAGCCAAAGATGTGCGCATAGAGAACCACCATGACCACGAAGGTTACCAGGTTGAAAATGGCCCAGAAGACTAAGTAGGAGTCACTGTAGAGGGGTGCCATGTTGGAACAATGATCAATATCACAGATACAGTTCCAGCCCACACTGGGTATGGCACCCATCACAATGGCCATCGTCCAGATGACCACAATCACCACCACCACACGCCTGTTGCTCATCCGTGTGTGGAGCTGCATGCGGAAAACTGTGATGTGCCTCTCGATGGCAATAGCCAGCAGGTTGGCCACAGAGGCCGTCAGGCTGGTGTCGATGAGGCCCTGCCGGAGGAGCCAGGTGCTAACAGTCAGTCTCCGCGTATTGGGTCCCGTGTTGAACATCAGGTAGAAGTAGGCCAATCCAGCAAAGAAGTCTGCAGCAGCCAGGTTGGCCATCAAGTAATAAATAGGGAAATGGAAGCGACGGTTGACATAGATTGCCACCATGACCAGTAGGTTGGCCAGCATGATGAACACGCAGACAGTGATCCCCAGTCCCATTACCAGCTTGCTCACTGTGTTCCATTCTGTAGCAAGATATTTCCCACTCCGGTTATAAAAGAAGGCGATAGACTCGTTGTAGAAGCACTGTGGTTCATTCATGGCTGTGAACTGAGAAAGAAGAAGAATGAATGAATGAATAAATAAACGAAACCCACAGATCCAAATATAAAGACGGACAGACAACACAAGGCTCCTATAACATCTTCAAATGAAACAATAAAAGCAAAGAATCTGGACATCTGACCCAGAATAATGTCCAACAGCCACATTGGCCATTTAGTACTCAAGATTAAAGAGGGTGAGACAAATAAAGGACAAGGTCTCTACTTGGTGGTTGTGTGTCATTGAAGTCTTCAAGACAAGCCACATGGCATGCACACACACAAACAAATTTCCTTAAAATACCCAAAACAGTCAAAAATCTTGCAGAATCTGCAATTGAAGTGTTTATCCTATTGAACTTTACTCTGCCCTGTTATTTAGTAACAGGGGTAGTTTCTGAATGGTATCTTTGGCCAATTAGTGTACATTTCTCACCTCACACAGTGGTTTTGACCTGTGACAGACATTTTGTAACACAAGCTCGCAGAAGGGCCATCAGCCCCAACATTTCAAAGGTCATACTATGCATCAAAGATTCTTTAGTCAAAGCCAGCATGTACTGTTCAACATTCCTGTGGTCAGCACAACCCACCCCCAGAACTCTCCATCCCCAGAATAGCATCCAGCTACTAGTCTGTGACTCTTGAGAACTTTCTTCCCCCTTGGAAGGCTTACTGTAAGCAGCTGATACCTGACACTACTCCCCAAGAAGTAAAATAGAATCAGTTTAGAGGCCACGCATGCCTCCCAGTGTAGAATGATGCTGCTTTGTAATGTGTTTACTTACTCCTTCTTTTTCTTTTAATCAGAAACAGATGGAGTATATTTGCATACTATTTATACTCTCACTCTAGTCCAGAAAGGTTTGAGTAAACAGTAAAGCAAAGTTAGAAAATAAAAGATAATGAAGAATACAAAAAGGGGAAATGCATATCAACTAGAAAAAGGAAAAAAAAAAACTCTCTTCCTGAAACCTTCAGTTCACTGGAAACTTCTAGAATTAGAAAGTAGTCCCTGAAGACATTTCACATTCTGTTTCCTCTTCTCTTGCTGTGAGTCCTAAATCACTAAGCAAATACACTGCTGTATGGTTACCTGTAGGTTCTTCTCTTCATTAAATAAGTCATACTCTACAACCTTGTCTTAACATCTCTTGGCATCTTCTGCATAGTCCAGAGTGTCTCCCTCACTACACAGCAGAGAACTTGGTCATTAGTGTTCCATTCCACCTCAAATCTTGCCCTTATTCTAGGTAATTCATCTACTTTCCTTGCCTGTCTTTTCCTTGACTTCACCTCTAGTGACCTATTCCATTACATCCCAGTGGCCCACACCCATGACCACACCTACCCAGAACTGTCTGCTTTTGAAAATACTTACTTGAGACGTTCTAATTACTCATCATAATCTCTCATTTTTCAGTTTTTCTCATGTAATGTCTAGTACCTCTGTCTTTTGAAGGTATCTGTTTTCTTGATCCAGTTTTTGATGGATCACCCTCCTATTTTCCATTTCCTCTTTCATCCAATTCAAGTTCCACAGTGAGTGATTTAGTCCCTTTATTGTGAACACAGGAGCATAGTCTCTTCTCAAAGACATCGAGATGACCTGAATTCGGAATTTTCTGATTATATTAACAACAACTACTGTGCTAATTATTTCTTTTATTGCTGTAACAATATTACTGGCAAAAGTAAGTCAAGGATGGAAGGGCTTGTTTTTTGAGTGATGATGTGAAGATGTGGTCTGCTCTATCAGAAAGTCTTGTCAGTAGAGTGGGAAGATGCAGGAGCATAGAATGCTGTAGTCAACAGTTTTTTCCCTTTGTATTCACTCCAGGAATCAGCCTAGGGAATGTCGCCTCCCCCCCACACACACAGTTAGGGTACGCCTTCCCACTTTAATTTTCTCAATCATGAAACTTCCTAACAGACATGTCCAGAGACATGTGAACAGTTTTCAGGTACAAAAGGGTTGTGAATAGAACATTTTTAAGAAGCCTGAATCTTTATGATCATCTCTTCATTTCAAATCCCCTATAAAACTACTTGTAAAAAATCCCTTCTGCCAACTAAGGGCATTTATTCAGAGGTCCTGTGGTTTTAGTAATGGTTGTCTTGGGAAGCCATGACTGTACTTGTCAGACAGAAAACAATAAAAAATAATTTCTAAATAAAAAATGAAGTAGAACTGGGCAATAGTGGTGCACACCTTTAATCCCAAAACTTGGGAGATAGAGGCAGATGGATCTCTGTGAGTTCCAGGTCAGCCTGGTCTACAGTGAATTCCAAGACAGCCACGACACAGAAAAAGGATGTCTCAAAAAAACCAAAAATGAATAAATAGAAAAAAACGACAAAATTCCTAGAGAGTAGAAATGCCAAATAAAATAAAAGATGTAAGATATCCACCCAGCATTCATAGAGAGGGTCAGCGACAACAAGAAGGAATTGGAGGCGTGGATTAAAACAAACACCTAGTTATTCTGGAGATCCAAGGACTGGGGTGGAGTTGGAGAGGCAGAGCCTCACACAAGGAAAAGCCACAACTTAAGACACATTCATTACCGGTTTACGTTTATATAAATTACAGAACAATGTTAAAAGTAGGTCAAATTTCCCTGTAGCTTGATGAGATTTTGGAATCTTAAAGGTAAAGAGAGGCTCTCGAAGCACAAAGGAAAAATAAAGAAAAAGCAAGCTCACCAGATGTGGAAGGTGGAGAGAACAGACACCCCAGTGCTTCTGATGTGGGAGCTTTAGGACAGAGATTCTCAGCCTGTAGGTCGTGACCCTGCTGGGGGTCAAATGCCCCTTTCACCAGGGTTGTATATCATATATTCTGTATGTTGGATTTTACATTACAATTTTCTACTAATCACACTTTTACATTACAATTTGTAATAGTAGCAAAATTACAGTTATAAAGTAACAACAAAAATAATTTTATGGTTGGGGTCACTACAACATGAGGAACTGTATTAAAGGGGTCAGAGCATCAGGAAGGTTGAGAACCACTGCTTTAGCACAAAACCCAAGGTATGAAAAACTTTGCTGTACAGAGAAAATCTTTAGGACCCTACAGGAAAGCCCCCCACAGGCTCACGAGGAGCTTGACCACAATCACAAGGAAAGTGACTAATAAACACAAGTGCTTGTGCATACACACACACACACACACACACACACATACACACACACATGTACACACACACATGCACACACACACATGTATGCATGCACACATGCAGCCAAAACCCCTGGTGTATAAAATTCATAAGACATGACAATTGTTTTCAAATGGTCAAAAATTCAAACATAAAAATAACTCTTAAATTACACAAGATATAATTTAATAATATTGGCATAAATCTATCATTGCACCAAAAAGTACTTGAGTTAGGAAAGTAGGATGTAAATGTTTGTTCATTTTCTCTTACTGTTTAGGTAAGAATCATATCAGGGAGAGACGAGGAGAAAGAGGAAGAAATGCAAACATATTGAACATACTATTTAAATTGTGACAATCGGCAGAAATTACCGGAAAGGGCGGAGGTAAACACAGTGGCTTTGGGTAGTTACTGAAGTAAGGTCACTTTCCACACTGCTGAGGAAAATGTGAACATTTGGTCTCCAGCTGGCTGTACTGAAGGAAAGGGCAATAGGCAAAGAATGATCCCTGCACCAAAGGTATCTACGTAAGATCTTACTTAAAAGAAACCAGCAGTTACTGTTAGAATCATGGGGACAATATGAATATACTCAGACAAAATTCAGTAAATACTTTCCAATGAGAGCCCTTGCTCTACAGGCGAAATCATTACAGCTCGAAATCCTTGTTGAGTAAGAAGCTGCCAAATGCTGCCCTGGAGAGGGGCTGAACATGCAGATCGGATAAAATTACTTTTAAATGAAATGTCTCTCAGTGGCAGAAAGTAGGCATTCACGTACTTCCATCGTGCACTGATCACTGCATCCCAGAAAGGAATCATGGGGTGGGGTGGGGTGGGGTGGGGCCCCAGTGGTCACTGCATCCCAGAAAGAAACCCTGGGCTGGGGGTGGGGCCTCAGTTGCTACTCTGCACAGATGTTCCTTTTGGAAATCTCACCCTACCCGTGCTTCAGTCACGGCAGCCTGTCATCCTCAACTCTAAAGGGTGTTGTTATGGTGCTGTCTGGGGTCTCTAACCTTCATGCACCCCTCTCCGCCTTCCCAGGAATTATGGAATGTCAGGCAAGGACGCAGCTCAACACTATGCCTTCAAAGGGCACTAAACGATACACCAGAGTGCCTGCTGAAGCCACTTCCTGTCCATTTGACACGCCTTTTAACTCCCAGAAGGCAATTACACACTCATTAGCCAAGAGGAAAAACAAACACCTGGCATAAAGCTCACAAGATACTAATTAGACCTCTGCGGTTTAGTAGAGAGTCCAAGAAGAAAGTAAATATGTACTCCCCTGGCATGCTTTAAGGGCATCTTAATCTACGCTGGGTAAGGAACCCGCAGTATGATATAAGCGAAGTCAGCTTGCTCCCCACTCCTGTGTATGCATATGTGCACATAGGTCTGTGTGTGTCAGAGCACAGGCACACGCGTGTGCGCGCATGGGGAAGCCAGAGGTCAACCTAGGGTACTGTTTTTCATCCACTTTGGCTATAGAGACAGGATCTCTCAGTGGCCTGGATTTGGCTGAATAGACTAGGCTGGTTGGCCCATGCGCCCTGAGGAGCCACCTGTACCCATTGCCTCAGGATCACATGGTCCCATTTCTATTAACACAGTGGAACGTGTGAGGGTATGTACAACTCGGAGCTTTAGACTCTTCCTGAGTCCAATGTCCACCAAGTCACGTGTTCAAAACGTAGGCTCCTAGTCCCGTTCTCTCTTTTTGAAATGGAAGCATAAAAGATTTCTATGTCCTTTTCATTTCCAGTTATTAAAGCTAAAACAATCAAACCATTTACACTATTCTCCGAATAAGAGCAGAAAAATAGGTAGCATG